ATCTAATACACATTAGTTTCCTTCTGTTCTCAGGACCCAAGACCCAGGTATGTGCAACAAAAGGAAAAAAATATGATATAAGACAGACCCATCTTAATACCAAGCTTACTACTGTAAATGGATAGAGCATTAAAAGATAAATATCATGAATGTCATACAAACAAGGTAAATGCATTCTGGATTTTTTATTTAACTTATCAGTGAAGGACTCATTAAAGCTGTATGTATTGCTCTTTCTCACACAGAACCTAGATTTAAAAATATATGAAGCCAGATGGGATAGCACAAACCTGTAACCCCAACACTTGAAAGGTGGAAATAGGAGGATCAAGAGTTCAGGATCAGGATGGAGAGTTAAGAACACTGGCTGCCCACAAGGAGAGCAACAGAACCAGTCTCTGGGGTCTTTCCAGAGACTCATACTCCAACCAAGTACCATGCATGGAGATAACCTAGAACCCCTGCACAGATGTAGCCCATGGCAGTTTAGTGTCCAAGTGGGTTCCATAGTAATGGGAAGAGGGACTACCTCTGACATAAACTGATTGGCCTGCTCTTTGATCACCTCCCCCTGAGGGGAGCAGCCTTACCAGGCCACAGAAGATGACAATACAGCCACTCCTGATGAGATCTGATAGACTAAGATCAGAAGGAAGGAGAGGGGAACCTCCCCTATGAGTGGACTTGGGGAGGGGCATGCATGAAGAAGGGGGAGGGAGAGTACGATTAGGAGGGGAGCTGGGAGGGGTTTATGGGGGGATACAAAGTGAATAAAGTGTAACTAATAAAAGTTAAAAAAAAAAAAAAGAACACTGGCTGTACTTCTAGAGGACCTGGGTTCAATTCCTAACACCACATGAAGGCTTATAACCATTTGTAACTTTAGTCCTAAGGGATCTGATGCCCACATACACAGACATACATTACAGGCAAGACATTCACACACATAAAATAAAAATAATAATTTTACAAAAAAGTTCAATGTCATTCTTGAATACATACGAAGTTCTAGGCTAGAATGGACTACGTGAAATACTGTCAAAAAGAAAGAAAGGGAAAGTGTTCAGACCGCTCGGGGGTTAAGAGTGCTTACTGCTCTTCCAGAGAACCCAGTGGTTCTCAGCACCCATGTCAGGCAGCTCATAACTGCTGATGACTCCAGGTCCAAGCTAGTGGTGTCTTCTGGCTTTCTAAAGCACCTGCACACAGGTGGCATACACAAATACATACACACAAATACAAACTCTAAAAATAAAATAATTTCTCTGCAATAAAAGGAAGAAAGAGGGGATGGGGACTCTTTGGGGTCAGTAGGAGGGACAAGGGGGAGAGGGAGGGCAATGAGGGTGTGTGAGCCAAGTACAATAACACATGTGCGAAAACATCATCAAGAAACTAGTTGTTTTGGATTACCATTCTTTTTATTTTTTTTAAAAGATGTTATGCCCTATTCTAATGGAGACTTCAAAGAATGTGTGTTCATGGACAGCTGTAGCCTGGCTCCCACAGACCTCAATTTACAGGACACCTGGCACCTTTTGAGGGGAGGCTATTTTAAAAGAAAAAACAACAACAACAACAAAAGCAAACTTCACACACACACACACACACAAACCTTCTTATTCTTCCCTGGTGCTGCCTACCTAGCTGCGCATCACTGGAGAGTCATTAAATGTTGAGGGCCTTGATCTCTCCGTCTGTGTGTATCTGTGTGTGGTGGGGGGAAGGGCCACAAAACTACCCAAGGTCTCAGAGCTCTCCCCTAAGAGTGCGGATGTTTTCCCACTGCATGAGTTTCCTCATTCTCTGTCAGGTGTCACCATCAGCCATGAGCCATGTGGTACCTTGCTCCATCGGCAACTAGTGGCATCAGAACAGGTTCCAGGGCACCGACAACATAATTTACATGGAAAGAGGGAAGTACTTCACCAAACTGGCAGAAGAGGTTTTCTGGCGTCTCTGCCCCTACCCTCAAGGTCAAGGCCACGTAGAGATTTGGGTCCTTTATGACAGCTCAAGACTGAAAAAGCATTGTGCCACATGTCTATAAAAGTGTACCACACGGCTTAAGGGACCTGTTCTTTACAAAATGAAATTGCTTTGGGGAAGGAGGTAGTTCCCTGTTAGTGACTGAGGTAGCGTGAAGTCACTCTTCAGTAAGTCTCAGCAGCCAGCTTTTGGGGGCTCTCAGTGTACTGTTGTAAGAAGTCCCCTTAGTCTTATATGCAATGGGATGCAACAGACTGGTGATTTACAATGGACAGAAATGCATTTGGCTTGTGTCTCTGAAGGCTCAGAAGTCCAAGGTCAAGGGCCACACTTTAGGATGAGCTTTCATTCAGTATCATGGCATATTTACAGGTACCCCACGGGTGAAGAGATTGAGGCAGGAAGATCCTGAGGAAGCAACCCCGACGACACGGCTTCCTCCATAGCAGCTCAGTTAGCTCTTAAAGTTATCCATCTTCCAGTCCTGAATTCTGCACTGAATTCTAACACATGGCCCCTGGGCACATGTGCAGACCTTACTGTCGGCACATGAATTCCCACTCTGCAACCTTCCTTCCTGGCTCTTGACAGAGCAGGTGCCAGGTACCACTGTGCATCCCTGATGTCCATGAGGTATGCTGACATGAACACTGGTATAAAGGATACTCAGAGCTGTGCACAAACTCACCCATCAGGAGGTCTACTGAGGTGAAAAAAAGGAAAGAAACTAGACATCCAGCAATAGGGAAACAGTTAAACAAAACACAGTAAAACCCTCGAGAACAGTGGTAGGCAGCTATTCAAACTGTGACACAGGTAAGGAAAGAGGCCACACTCAGCAAGCTCATTCTATTTAAGGATGTTTGCAGAATTATACAACTTTTTTTTTTTCAAGGAGAAAGAAATTACAGTGTTCTAGTGGGTAGTTCTACTTTCTTCTTTCTCTGTTTGGTGTTTTCCCTCACATCCCACTCTAGCATGCATCCACAGATGGACAGAGATAGAGATGGCAGCCAAGTGGTCACAATCCAACCTCACCAAGCCCACCTGAAACTGCTCTTGGATCTGAGGTACCGGTGTCTCAGGCCAGAGATACTCAGATAAGACGGTGGGAGTACAAAGCAATGGATTCTTTAGGTCTGTGCCCTTCCACTCAACGTGAGCCACAGCCACACCCACACCTCATCCCCCTAAAACACACACACACTCACGCTTGCCCAGGAGAAACTACTCAACAACTAGAACATCCATCTGGATCAACCAATGTCTGTGCAGGGTGTCACTGCCGGTCCTGGTGCAACGGGCAGAGCTGTGGCCTAATGGTCCACCCCCAGGCCTGGCTCCCTTGTTTGGTCCTGTCTTCTTTTTTCCTGGTATTTCATCTGTTCATCCACAAGATAAAGGAAATGTTTGGGTTTGGACAGAGGACCCACTCAGGCCTTTTCTTAGGATCCTTCATTCTGATCTTGTCGCTCAACCTTCTCAGCAACCCCACCCCCCACGCCCACCCCCATGAGAGCCCCCAATGAGCTGAGATGAACCCTTCTAGATGTGGGGAGGAACTAAAGGCCCAGTCAAGGAGGCAGAGTCCCAATTGGAGAGTTTGCCCAGAGAGGTTGGGAGCGTCTCTCTAAACCCGACTCCCCACATGGAAACAGGAGCCATGGCACCTAAGAGAGCTGCAGTGTCAAGCCATTTGTTTTCTCCTGGAGGCTGCCCGGGCCCCACCTCCCAGCTGGGGCCTGCAACTGGCTCACTTCTCTTCCACAAGGTCTCCAGGGCTCCTCTGCTTTCCCCAAGGATGGATCATCAACATGTTCAGCTCTTGGTCATCATGTCTTATTTTTGAGAACTGCCTTCCAGCCAGTGGCAGGCGGCAGGGTTTGGGGTGTCCTTGCTTCTTCAAACCTCAACTCCCTCATCAATAAAACAAGGGTTTGGAGAGGGCCGGCACAATTCAATGTGTGGATTCACTGGTCAGATTTACAAGTGTCACCCTACGTAGACCCCTACAGTCCCACCCAGATGTAGCCCCCTTTAAGGGACTCTCCTAGGCAAATAAATATTCGAAATGATTCTGCCAGGGCTGGAGATTAACTGCAGAGCACACCAACATACTCAAGTGTGTCATAAACAGAGACCTTGTGGTGATGGTGGAAGGGGCCTGGGGATGGGCTGGGGCATGCCTGAGGCTCACAAAGTGGGCTGCGTGAGGAACAGGAGCTGGAACCCCGTCTCTCTCCTAAGCCAGGCATCTTCCAAGGCAGGCTTGCATCTGTCAAGGGGTGAAGAAAATAGGCCTGCTGATAGCTCAGATCGGAGGCCTTGACCAAGCCTACGTGAAGAGAATTCTAGCAGCTGGGAACCGCCGGCCTTGACAGGCTCCTCAGCCCATCCCAAAGGCCAGCAGGCTGTGTCCCTCCTGCCGCCCCCACCCTCCGTTCTGCCCATTGCTCTTGCCTCTGTCCAGCCTGTCTGGCTGTCCTTCCCTGACATATGGTTGGCCCATCCTTCTTGCACGTGTCTGTCTGTCCACCCTTCACAAGTCTGCCTGGCGCGCCGGCCTCCCTGCATCCCTAGGCCTCCTCGCCACCCTGCCCCGCCCGCCGCTGTGTGGGTGTCGAGCCGGCTGTGTGCAAAGGGGCGCGGCTCGGCGCTCCCACCTCCCCCGCGTGCCCATCTCGGCCATGACCCGGGCCGCGGCGCCGCCGAGCTGAGACCCAGGAACCGCGCCGCCGCCGTGGAGGACCCGGGAGGGTGACGGTGGCCCGAGCGGCGGCGCGGGGACGGCGACGGGCGGCCGGGCGGGGCTGCGGCAGGGCAGGGCAGGGCAGGGCCCTGGAGACCGCCGCCAGCGGCTCGCTGCGGGATCGCGGGCGCGGGTCCGCTCGCCGGGCCCCGCCGGTGCGCCCCGCCCCTGCACGCACAGCAGGCCCAGGCGGAGCAGCGCGACGCCCTGGCTCAGCCCGAGCGCCGCGGCATCCGAGCGGGAGCCCGAGCGGGACCGGAGCTGGAGCCGAAGCTGGAGCCGGCACCGAGGCGCACGGAGCGGAGCGCCGCAGCCAAGCCGAGTAAGGGGCGCGGGGCGCGGGGAGGGCCGCAGAGGGGGGGGGGGGGTCCCGGCAGATTAAGCACGAGGCCGGGGACTCTTTGGGCGGTGGAGGACGCGGTCCCGAGCGGAACCTCAGCGCGCGCGGTACTGAGTAGCTTCCCGGGACTCCCGCGGTTCCTGCTCCCACATCCCCGAGAGGGTCACCGGCCCCCGAGCACCCCCGGGAAAGGCGAGAAATCGGGGGTCTCCCTCCTGCCTAAGTCTCAGACGAGTATCCTCCCAGGGTGGAAGCCCAAGAGTGGGTCCCCAGCCCTGCCCCCTGGGTTTGGAGGGTCGCGGACCAGCCCACTCAAGACACTAGGGCGCACTCTTGTCTGGAATGAGAGAGGAGAGGGACTGGGGTTCTATGGAGTTTGAGCCTGAACCCTCCCTTTCCCACCACTTTAAGCCACAAGTTTGACGCTCCAACGGGCGGGTCGCCTGGGCCGCGCCCCTAATCTTGTAGCGTCTAGGACACCTAGACCATTCCGCTTATACTGTAGCACCGCCCACCTCCACGCCCCCTGGTCAGGCAGACTTTTCCGAGCGACTTTTGGAAAAGACCCCGAAACTGTATCCAAGGTGGCAGTTCCGCTGACTGCGTAGCGCTGTGTGGCACTGCCGCCTCTCTCCAGATTCCTTCCCAAGCTGGGCAATGCCCACCCTGCCCCTAGCTGAGTCCCTTCCTGGTTGTCCTTCGGACTCTGCAGTCTGAGAACAGGTTCATAGCGTCGACCCTGCGCTACCTTCCTCTCGAGTGCCAGCATGGGCAGGCAAAACCAGGCTAGGAAGGAGAGAGCGCGAGTGACCTACCAAAGAAGCAGGTCTTGATTCTCAGAGTCCAAGTGCACCTGAGGACCAACAGAGGGCCCTCTAGACTCTCCTCCAATGTAAGGACTGCTTACTAGAACCACTGACTTCCCCATCAAGTGCCTCAGTTTCCCTCCTTGAAAAGTATGCATGATTCTGTTGGTGGAGTGTGCAGGAACTTTAGAGCCGCGAGACAACCTTGATGGCTTTCCCAGCTGTGTGGTGTTTAGATGATTCTTCTGTGGCACCTGAAGAATGATCAGCAGGTATCTCGCATCAACACTTGACTGCATTTGGCCACAGGTGTCATTCTCTGACGGGAGGGAACCTGATGCTGCCCCCTTTCCCGCCCTCTAAGAAGGCCTTTGGCTCCCTGGGGGCCTGCTGACAACCCATTGCAAAACAAGACTTTCTTTAGCCTCTGTCTTTCTCAGATACTTGCTGGCATCCTCTGCCCTGCCTACGCCTTGTACCTCTGTCCAGGTTGCCTGACTACAAGGGTTACTCTGCCTTTTTTTTTTTTTTTTTTTTGCCTTTGGCTGGCACGTGCCACCCCAGGCTGAGACCCCCACATAGTGCTCAAACTCAGCACAAAGGAATTTGCACACCTGGATCCTCTCTGGTTGAGGTAAAGAGAGGATTGCTTTCCATGGTGCGACTTAGGTGAGCCGCAGGTGATGGTTCTAACAGGTAGCAAGAAGCTCAGTCAGTGGGGCAGTGAGATTGCCATGAGCCAGAAGGGTACCCAGTGTGGTTCCTTGCCGACTGTGATGTGTCAGGCCAGGAGGTCACGGTATCCCATGAAGACGACCCCATGGAGAGCCCAGTGAAGGAATTGGAGCTAATGACTGACAGCATGATTTGAACTTGAGAGGTGGCCTGATTTCTGGAAAGAAGCTCCCTGAGTCTGGGCAGCTGGGACCTTAGGACCAGAGCAGACCGGTCGCATGCCCAGGGTTTAGGGAGAACATGAGCATCCGTGGGATGGCTCAGAGGGTGTAGGAGGCCAGGAGCATTGGTGGAAAGAAAGCAGAGGACACCCATGTCTGTGCCACCTAGAACTGGAATGAAGTCAGAAATGTGTCTACCTGTTGCTGGGCAGAATGGCTGTCCCTTGGGGTTCTTCTCTCCAGAAGTCCCTCTCTCCTTCCTTTGTAGCTTCCTCCAGCCCTCCCCCATTCAGCCACTAGGGTGGCCCATTCCCTCCACTTTCTATAATCCTCTCCCCTCCTCGTCCCAAAGGAGTTCATCAGAAGCTAATTAGGTTTGTTCTGCTGCTTCACTCAGTATCTGGAGCACAGCTGATAGGGAGCATGATGGGGAGGCAGAATGGATCATGGGTCTTTGGCAATAATGGGCTGGACATCTTCGGAGGATATCACTGTCTCTTGAAACTCTAGTGCCAAGCATGGGGTAGCAGAGCAGGAAAGCACTGATCTGTTCAGAGTCCTAAAAGAGAAACTGAGGCCAGTGAGGCTTGCCCCTTGAGAAGTGAGCACAAGATAGAATTATGGCTGCCAGCACAGCTCCTGGAGCTCGTGGTTGGATTTGCAGCATTTGATTCTGAGCAGGTGGCCTCCCTTTCACAGCCTCAGTGTTGTCTTGAAAATGGAATGAGTACTGATTGAACACCTGCCATGGCAGTCGCGAAGACTGAAGAAATAATGCATGAGGCATATGACCACATCCCGTGAACCTTGGCCAGGGGTCCTGCCATGTCAGTGTTGTAAACACCCCTCACAGGTGATTTTGCAAGCACAAGCATTTTTCCTTTGACCTCAGACAACAGCATTCTGGTAGAGTGGGGTCGGGAGGAGCATCAGGGAGAACACTGTGGCTCCAGAAAGGTTAGGAACCGAAGCTGGGTATAGAATATGTAACATCACTGTGATTCATCGTAATTTTTACACGAGTCTGTGAAATTGATAATTAGCACATTTTGACTTCAGCGACATGCAATTAGTTATCAAGATGATTCCTCCATGGAGATCTTTAGTCATTTTGTGGCTGAGAGCTGAAAATGAAGGTGCTTACTGTCCATGGCCTATCACATTTTTAGACACTCCTTTTTTTTCTACTCAAACAATTATCAAACTCATTTAGTCAAATTGACTTAAAAGAGCAGTCTCCCACTTGTTATCTCCTCTCTCCAGTTTTCTCCGAAGCATTTATCACCTTCAGCATCCGTAGCCCTGATTTATCCATTTCCTTCCCTCAGTGATATCATCACTGTGATGTCTCCTGAGACTAGAATGGCACTCAACATTTAGCATGCTTTTGCAAGATCACAAGGTGTCTTGTAAAACAGGAAGTCTGCTATTTTTATTATTCTTGCCAAGTGTGCAGAATGACTAAAAACAAAATGTTACAGTAAGGGAGACACTATTCCCTCGAATATTTGGCAAACAACTTGCTTCAGGAGCCCAAAGAGATGGCTCAGTGGTTAGGAGTGCCTGCTGCTCTTCTGGCAGAAGACCAGCGTTTGGTTCCCAACACTGGGTGAGCCACACTGGGTGGCTCACAGCCACCGTTAACTCCTACTCCAGGGCATCTGATGCCCTCTTCTGACCTCCAAGGAGCACACACATGCACACACACACACACACACACACACACACACGCACAAAATAAACTAAGAAGAAAAAGAAATCTCTTTAAAATATTTGCTTTAGTATCATGGATACTTTATGGCTGTTAAGCCTTTTCAGTAATAAGAGTTCAAAGGCAAATTAGTTTTAGTCTTTTCCAGTGAACTGGCACTGACTTTTTCAACCAGTTGCTTTCTACCACAAAAGATTCTTTTCTGAGTCTTCACTTTTATGATCTTTCAGATTATAAAATCAATATATTTCAGGGTAGAAAATTTTGGATATCATTAAAAAATATAAAATACATAAAAAGCTCCCCTTAATCCAATGTATTCTATTTTTGTCATAATCTTTTGCTGTATGTGAATGTTTTCACTAGGATTTATTCTACAAAATAAAGATCATGCACAGTTCTATAGCCTGTTTTTATTTTTCCCAAAATATTTAGGATTCTTTTTACATGTAACATTATACTGAGGGTCCATATACATTTAAAACTTTTGAAAAACATGGTTTCATGGTTATATAAAATCCCACTATACATGAGTACCATAATTTGCTCAGTCTGTCCTCTTATTGGTGGCCACGTTGGGGTCATGTCTTATTTCACTATTATACGTAATACCTACCTGGGTCTCTTCTGACGTTACTCAGCCCTGAGTCAGGCTTCGACGTACTCTTGGTCAAGACCAGACCAGCTGGCAGATGGCCTAGCTCATGACGTTGCATAGAACATAGACCTCTACGTTTGGCCACAGTGGTGGGAGTTTACCCTGGAGAGCAGTGGTTCTCAACCTGTGGGTTGGGACCCCTTTGACAAACCTCTGTGAGCAAACCTCTATCTACAAAAAAAAAAAAAAATTTACATTAGAGTTGATAACAGTAGGCAATACAAAACCAAAAGCAAAACCTCTTCTTACAAAAATATTTACAATTGATAACAGTAGCCAACACAAAAACAAAAGCAAAACCTCTTCTTACAAAAATATTTACATTACAATTGATAACAGTGGCAAAATTACAGTTATGAAGTAGCAACGAAAACAATTTTAAGGTTGGGGTCACCACCACGTGAAGAACTGTATTAAGGGGCCGAAGCATTAGGAAGGCTGAAATCGAGGTATATAGGAACAATTCTGGTAAATTAGGGCAAGTAGAGACCCCAAAACCTTCAGACAGATCTTGAGCAATCCAGTACAGCGCACGTGTGGCCAGATGTTGCCCACAGAGACAAGTGGAGACTCTCTGAGGCATCTGCCAGTGAGCTTCATGGCTCTTACCCACCTCTGTGGCCATTGTCTTCTCTGCTCTTTCTTGCCCCCACTCCTGAGTTTATTCTCCGGCCTTCACTCACACAATAGTGTGTGGCTTGGCAGCACTTACCAAGGCACGGATCTCCCCATTAGGAAGTCCCCAGCTGGGTCCCTTCCTGTGACAGGACAAAGTTCTGCTGGTGATGTTAGACCTGCTGGGGTGAGGTGAATAACAGCAACCGTGCAAGAGTAGTGCATCTAACCACGTCCAGGAAAATTTCTCACTTCCTTCCTGCTCAGAGTGCTCACAAGCCCACACATAGACCCAA